CAATTTTCCAAATTTGATAACTTAAAATGTAAAGTCAGTTTCACGCATTTGCAGCATCCATTAAGAATGAGTTTTTTTTTTAAAAATTCAGTCAACAGTTTTCAAAAAACTGAAAGCTTGTTGTGTGGAATGCTAGTAACAAGCAATGCATATTTTGGACTAAGGGGAAATGTACAAGACAGCAAATGACTGGGTTAAAAATCAGTTAATTAGAACTATTGAACAGATTGATTTGCACACTAAAAGTCCTTCTAAAACCTTCTGGAATTGGAAGAAACATAAATTCCTTTTCAAATATGCTGTCAAACCAGCTGGCAAACCAACATTTTTTAATTTAATTCTATTAAATTTCTTCCTGCAGTTTGGATCCTTTTAAAAATCAGTCCTTTTACAGATTAAAAGGCTATCTGACACACCGGAAATGGGGTACATATTTGCTGAGAGCATAATGGCTCTCTCCAGGGACAGATGTGGTCACTAAAGCAATGACCAACCTCTTCTAATTATAGTTTTAGCAAGAACAATTAGTATATGTCAATGCTCATCCATTTAAGTTCAGTCGCATGTGGGAAACAGAGGGGGGAAAAGAACTAATCAATAATGCAGTGCAAAAGATAACTGCTTGCACCATATTTAACGTATTGATAGCAAACCTTTTTTAATTGTAGAATCTCCAAAATATTGTTTATGAAAAGTATTTACTAAATCTTCCAAAATTTTTCTTAAACTTTACAATCATATATACTGGAAATTCTTCAGCACATCAAGAAATTTCAAAGACCCTGAGGATACTAAAAACAGACATTCATGTGCAGCAGAGAATGAATCTTTGAGTTACAGTCTTAAAAAGTGTTTATTCATAAATCCCATGTATCTGTTACCCTTGTCTTTCCAAAGGCCATGAGCTCAGGAGGTACCACTTAAAGAACCTTGGTGAATTTCTGTAGTGCATCTTGTTTATGACACACACTGCTGCCTTGATGTAGTGGTGGAGGTAATGAATATTTGTAGATGTGGCCAATCAGGCAGGCTGCTTTGTCCTGAAATATATCAAGCTTCTTGAGTGTTGTGGAGCTGTACGCATCCAGGTAAAGGGGAGTATTCCATCACACTCCTGACTTGTGCCTTGTTAATGATGGCCAGGCTTTGGGTAGTCAAAAAGTGAGTTACTTGTTGCAGTGCTCCAAGAGCAGGTCAGAAGCTAAGTGTTTATATGGCTAGTTCAATTCAGTTTCTGGTCAAAAGTAACACCAAGGATGTTGGTAGTAGGGTAATTCAGTGTGGTGGTTTAATTATTGCTTAATGAACAGTCACATGGCACTTGTCATACAACTGCAGTAGCCACTCAGTGCAAATGTGGACATTGTCCAGCTATTGCATCTAGAGTCGTAAGTGGTGCTAGAGATTATGCAACCATCAGTGAATATGCCTAGAATAGAGCTTGTGATGGTGAAAGGTCATTGAAGCAGCTGATGACATTTTTGTTCCTAAAGTTGTATAGAGAAGCTCAGCAGGTCAGGCAGCACCGGTGAAGGAAAAAAAAAGCAGAATCAACATTTTGGATCTGGTGACCCTTCCTCAGGAGCTCCTGAGGAAGGGTCACCAGATCCAAAACATTGACTCTGCTTTTTCTTTCACTGGTGCTGCCTGACCTGCTGAGCTTTTCCATACAACTTTGTTTTTGTTCCCAATTTACAGCATCTGCAGTTCTTTTGGTTTTTATGATGATATTCAGGCCTATGTCACTATGATCTCTAACATCCCACCCATAACCCCCTTATGTTAGGTCTTGTACCAAGCAGCTGAGAGGTATCACTGATTTTACTTTGAGCCACCCATCGATGTCATATTTGGCACAATAGTCTAGAGGTACAGGGCAGTCACACTCACTTTCCCTCTGCCCATACATAAATTAACTTCAGTAGCTGTATTACTTTAAACCTTTGGTATTGTCTTTATGTGTAGCCCAACATGATACATGTAGCATACAATTGAACAACGTTCATTTGTTGGAGGTGGTAGTCCCGTCCGGAGACACAATGCCTGGGGACCCAAGCGGATGTCACGGCGGAGCATGCTAATGTCTTGGTTGCCTAGATTGGTACCCTGACGTGAATGTGGAAGTGAGGGGGACAGTATGGAGAATGGTGGCAAGGAGGACAGATTAGGAGACGCTATATGGGAACAAAAAGAGGTTGCCACTTATTTGAACCTAGACAGAATTGAGAGAACATCTGATAACAGTCATTGCACACAATTAAATAGCAGTGAACAGAAGACAAAATCAAATCAACTTATTTGGACAACAAAAGATTTGAGTTTCTGGACTTCAGAAAGCAGAACTAAATACAAACAAGCTGACTTTAGGCTATAAAACCAGAATTGATTTTGTACAAGTAGCAGAGAGACTTTAAGGCAACTTTTTGGGAAAGAACAAAAGACAACTTCTTTCCTCCAAAACTATTCCAACCTGGGTGTAATCTGCAAAAAAATATATTTTAGAATTTACAGCATTCAACATATGATCATATTTGGATGGTGGAGTAGGTTCATAACTCATTGTTTCAATCCACTTTCCTTATCTAATCTGTATATCCCTCAATTTCTGAGATTAAAAATCTCATCTTCAGCCCTGGATAAACCCAATGAAGCATACATAACCGTGTGATAAGAATTTCAGAGATTCATAATAAAAACCAAAAAAAAAACTGCAGAATGCCAAAAAAATCAGGAACAACACAAAAAATTGCTGGAAAAGCTCAGCAGGTCTGGTAGCATCTGTGAAGGAGAAAACAGTTAGCATTTGGGGTCAGGTCACCAGACCCCAGACCCAAAACATTAACTTTTCTCCTTCAGCTGCTGCTGTTTTTGTGTCAGAGATTCATAATTCTGAGTGAAGATGTTTCTCCTGTTGCCAGTATGAACAGCCTCAAAACAATTAAGTATCAACCTGGTCAAGCTCCTTAAGAATCTGGAATGTTTCTATTACCTTTAATTCTTCTGAACCTGAAGATATTTAGTCCCAACTTTCTCAGCCTCTCATCATAGGATGAGAAAATTATCCCAGAGAACTGATCTATTTATCCTTTGCTGTAACACCAAAAAAAAGGGTACAGGGAAACTAATGCGTCAAAATTGGATTACCTAGAACTCTAGGTGTGAAGTTGTCAGCCATTCCCAGTGGCAGACAAAACAGAAGGATGCCTGTGAAAAGTCAAAGTTCTGACTGGTCACTCCAGATTAGCCAAGCTTATTGTGACCAATCAACTGGAATGGAGTTGAGCAACATTTCATGTTGCAATCATGGTCAAGACATCAGGTCTCTATTAAACCCAGCACAAAGGTTATAGCACCTATACAAAGCTCAACAATGGGCTACACTCAAAAGGATTTGAATGAATATTACCACAAAAGCAAAGATAGGGCAATCAAACCTAGAACTCCCTGGATTTAGGACAAGATAAAATTAAGCAGAGAATTCAAAACCAGTTACTACCCTTTTAGGAGAAATTCCTTTGTATCTTAGTTTTAAATGAGACCCCAGAAAGTAAATGCTGAAGTCTACTAATGGCATATTAATAGTAAAAACAGTAGTAAAAAAAACAGTAGTAAAAAAGGAGTAGAGCAGAGCAAAGCAAAGCAAAATAAGGAACCAAAGCCAAATTTACAGATGGAAGTATCAAACTTATTACACTTGTCTTTACTAAAGGAAAAAGTTACTTATGTCATGGCAAAAGGAGGAAACTGGCACGAGGAGGGTTCCAGATTCAAAGCATCAGAGGAGAGATGTTGCTACTTTCAGTTGAAAGGGCACCAAAACAAACAGAATACAATACATCCCAGAACAAAGGATGTGGGAATGGATATCAGAAACACATTGGTCATAATCTTGTCTTCCCAGGAATCAGGGTGGTACCATTGGACTGGGGTTTATGCCCTTCTGAAAAAGGTTACAAGGAGAAGCCCAGTGGTTTTTGGCCACAGTTTAACTTTAGTAGGGAACCAATTAGGATAGAATGAATGAACAACCACATGGACAATTAGGAGCTAGGGAGAACCAACATGGATCCCATGAAAAATTCATGTTTAACCAACTTGGAAGTTGAAGAGTGAAGGAAGGGTTAATGCTGCTGTGCACACGCACTTCCAAAGGGCATACAATGCAATAATACAGACTAGAGAAAAGTTCAGGCTGTGAAATAAATGGAACAGCATCAGATACAAAAAAAAACTCAGTAAAAAGTGTTAGAGTTATTTTTTCCAGGCTGGAGGAAAGTTCAAATTAGAGTTCCCCTACAGTTGGCACTGTGACCCTTTCCCCAATTTATGGGAAATGATCAGGATCTTCAAACTTAGGGGATGTTTTAAAGTTTGAGGATAATGCAAGTGGTTCCAAGACCCACTTTACAAAGACATTTGTACAGAAAATATCTATCATCACTCTTGTATGCAAAAGGTCTTGGTGCTGTCAGCAGACAAAAAAGTGATAATGCATAGATATTAGCCAGATGCAATATTGTTCTACATTTGTTCTAAGAGATTGGTGGCACATCTCAATCTCTTTCTCTTCCCCCACCACACCAACAGCTAATATTATGGCTATTTTCTCCTGGTTTTCTCACTTCAGCTGAGCAGAGCTTGGAAACAAAGATGGCATCATACAGCAAAGGGATGGGCTGAAAGCTCATCGAATGCACACCAGCTCTCTATAGCACAATCCAGTTAACCCCATTTAAATGATCTAAAAACAGGCTGCTTAACTTTCTACCAGCCTGGAAAGTTTGACTGCAAGTTAGTCAAGTAATAGAATTATCTGCTTGATGGGGTTTAGCTTTCTTTAGTCATCTTCAGTGTGATCACATGTCCATTTGTCCAGAAACATTTGTGCCCATTAGAATCAGTTAGCAATTCAGAAATTTTACTTCATTAAATCAAGGCACTTAATCCTTGCTGTTACATCACCATTCTAACCCACCTTCAAAGTTCAAACACCACAGTCGTAACATAAAAATGGTTTTATTTCATTAACATTTTTAGTGTCACATTTGCTGAATACCATAAATTTTTTCAGACATGGAAGGCTTAATTTGTGGAAATTAGATGTTGAACATTCACTAGTTTACAGAACTTCAGACAATGGATTTCACTTATAAATCAGGTGCAGGGTTGAGTGCTTCGCAAGAAATACAAGACAACAGCAACTTTTGGTTAGGACATTTGACTTGGAAAAAGTCCCCAGGCATATCATGTCACATGTACAATTTGTCACACTGGTTCACGTTTAAAACCCTTCCTGAAATCTAACCTTTAGGGAAAATTCAAAGGAGACAGACAGGTTGATTTTTTCTGATTAGACATGGTAATAATATTGGCAGGTCTGCTGAGGGTCAAGGAATAGAATCTTAAATTGTTAAACACAAGTTTCCAATTGACAGCAATGCTGGCTTATTAGGTTCTATCTTGTAGGCCAGCATTGGACTTAACTGAAGCAATGAAGTGTACTGGATATCAAATTTAGTAGTTTTGAAACAAATACAAAAAAAGCTCTATTCCATTGGCAAGTTCAAGCAATTAATTTTCAACAGTTGGTTAATTGGTCACATTCATGGGAGGTGCTACTTTTTAAAAATTTCAAAGCAAAGTTTCTAGAACAAGTTTTGTGAATCAGCTCTGAAGAGAATAAATGTTTGTGACTTTGATTTTCATAAGACCTTGGAATTGGGACATTAAAACCAGCTGTTTAACTCGAGTGGATGCTTATCTAAATGTAAAAAAAAGCAGATTCCAACTTTTGGGAAAAATCTAATATGATAAAGTATACAAATGCAAAATAAAGACAAAGTGTTAACCTTACAGGTAAGTGCACAGTTAAGCGTAGAAATGAATTGAAGAAATTCATTAGCACCCTTGTGTACAAGAAATAAAGCTGAGTTAATGCCAGAGGAATATTTATATAATTAGAATGGCTAAATTATGTTTGATGATCTTTTATGTAGTCAATATAGTGTCAGTGTAGGCTCAGTTACATTTCAGATATCACCTTTCAAATGTGCCCATTCCCATTTCCCTCATGAACCCAAAAGCAGAACCACTCCAGAAAATACTGTTCTTGCATTTAACTGCTCAACCATTAAAGACTGGCCAGTCGGTTTCCTCATGATCGGAATCCTCAAGATCAGTCAATAACTGGTCCTCATTTATTGAAGTATAAGAGGTCCTCACTGAGTGATAGGATATCCTATTTGGTAATTTACTAGGTATTAAATAGCTTAACACTTGAGCAAATTGTAGCATTGTAAACTCCTCTAAACTACCAATTGCAGATCAAGAGATGGCGAAGACCATATTGAACTTAACACTCCAAAATAATAAATAAATTTCCCCACCATCCATTGTCAGTCAACAGGTAAAATTTTAGAACAGGTCATGGTCAGCTTATACTGGTGGAAACAACTTGACTAATACTGCAAGTTTCGATCGTTATTATTTTTACACAGCCAGAGTCATTTAAGAAGAAAAGCCCACAAAAATTGAAGCAGAAGCAAGCATCTTGCTTGGTGATGCTTCAGAAGGCAGCAGTTAAGTTCTGCTAAAAAAGGTTCCTTTTTAAGTAGGCAGTCCATTTGCTTTGATGTTTCCCACCACAGGATGGTATTTCACATGATCTGACGAGGCATACCATAACCAGTCATACCAGACTGGGAGGCTCCTTTGTTACTTCCCATCTGCAAACCTATAACACTTTGTCCCTTTCGTAGCTGCTCATCAGAAAATGCTCGCTTATTACCCTGAGCTTTCCTGTTAGAAAAAAAAAGTAGTAATTACTACATACCAGGCAACAGAATACACAAAAATAAAGGCACAGTTCATATTTAAATGAAATTGACATGTGTATCTTGAATATAACCAAAAGCATTTCAGATGGGAGGGCCAACAAGTAGTGACTGAGAAGATCATGCAAGAATCTTTGGAAGAGCTCCTATTGACATCATGAGTTCAAAAGTGATGTGCTTCACAGGAGGGCTCATGGGGAGTATTAATCAGGTGACTTTTCCCACCCTTGTTCGATTTAACAATTCTTTCATAGCCTTATATTTTTTAAGATAGTGGGAATTTGATTGTTGTGCAACAATAGTACTTGGTCTGTTTGGAGGATATTTAGGAAACCTCTGTTGGCCAGTAATAACTATTTTCTTTAAGTTACAGGTAAGATCTGTTCAAGTATTTGTTTTTTTTTTTAAAATCCAGTAATCACTAGGGGGTTTAGGAGTGGCAGGTGACATGCTTCTCCCAAGACCTCCTTGACAACTACATTTACAGGTGGACACTTCCTGTTGCTCTTCTTGGAAGACGTGGATAAGTTGGAGCAGCATACAGGCGTTTTATGGATAGGTGTTCAGGGATGTGGTCACACCAAACGTTCAGCCAGATTCATAGGTAACAACACATCCCTGCCAATTTGAAAAGGACCCATTAATTCCTACTGTTTCCTCTCTGCTAGTTTTCCATCCATCTCAGTACACTGCCCGCTCCACCCCACCCCAACCAATCCTATGCACTTCAACCTCTTATGCAGAGGTTTGTCAAAGCATTTGTCAGTCCAAATATAATCACATTGACTGGCTCCCTCTTGTCAACTCAACTGTTTAGAGCTTCATGAAATTTCAACAGTTAGGCTGAAAGTTGGAAAGCAGGATCCCTAGGATTGTAATCTCAGGATTACTCCCCATGCCACATGCTAGTGAGGCCAAAGAGGAAGACAGTACAACTGGATACATGGCTAAAAAGGAGCTGGTGTGGAATAGAGGGATTCAGATATCTGGATCAGAGGACAGGTGGGAATTTGGAACAAAAGGTTGTACCTAATGAATAACCTGCAGAGTTTTTGTTTGTGCCACTCAGGCATGTTTAAACTCTTGCATGGCAAGGGTGGGAACCCAAGGAGAAGGTAGAGTTGATAGGTTGAGCAAGCAGGCTAGTTGAATGAACAAGATGAGACTATATAAAAAGAAACCAGGAGAAATAATATGATGAAGAACAGGATAGAGCATACAGCAAAAGTTAGAGTTCTTTATACAAATAGAGTTGAAGGAACAAGCTAAATTAGCAGCAGTCACACTGAAATTGGTAACTATGATATAGTAGCCAGGAGGGATACAGAAAAGCAGTTGAAGGGGTGGGTTAGTGTGTCAGATTAGGAACAGAATTCTATGGTGAGGGAGGACGTAATGAAGGTAACGCTAGATCAATTATTACACAGAGGCCAGTGTGCAAGATATTCTTTTATTGCAAGCAGAAAAGAAAAAAACTGAACAGATACTAGCAAGTTAACATAAGAACACAAGACATAAGAACTAGGAGCAGGAGTAGGCCATCTGGCCCCTTGAGCCTGCCCCACCATTTAATAAGATCATGGCTGATCTGAGACTCAGCTCCACTTACCCACCCACTCACTCACCATAACCCTTAATTCCTTTACTGTTCAAAAATTTATCTAGCCTTGCCTTAAAAACAGTGAGGTAGCTTCAACCGCTTCACTGGTCAGGGAATTCCACAGATTCACAACCCTTTGGGTGAAGTTCCTCCTGACCTCACTCCTACATCTGCCTCCCTTTATTTTGAGGCGATGCCCTCTAGTCCTAGTTTCACCTGCTAGCGGAAACAACCTCCCTGCCTCCACCTTATCTATTCCCTTCATAATGTTTCTATAAGATCTCCCCTCATTCTTCTGAATTCCAATGAGTATAATCCCAGTCTACTCAGCCTCCTCATAATCCAACCCTCAACTCTGGAATCAACTTGAGTGAATCTCCTCTGCACCCCTTCCAGTGCTAGTATATCCCTGCTCAAGTAAGGAGACCAAAACTGCATACACTACTTGGTGTGGCCTCACCAGGACCCTATACAGCTGCAGCATAGCCTCCCTGTTTTTAAACTCCATCCCTCGAGCAATGGCAGACAAAATTCCATTTGCCTTTTAATTACCTGCTGCACCTGCAATTCTACTTTTAGCGATTCAGGCACAAGGACACCCAAGTCCTCTACACAGCAGCGTGCTGCAATTTTTTACCATTTAAAACAGTCCATTTTGCTGTTATTCCTACCAAAATGGATGACCTCAGACTTATCAACATTGTACTCCATCTGCCAGACCTTTGCCCACTATCTATATCCCTCTGCAGACTGTGTCTTCTGCACACTTTGCTCTACCACTCATCTTAGTGTCATCTGCAAATTTTGAAACATCACACTTAGCCCCCAACTCCAAATCATCTATGTAAATTGTAAACAATTGCAGTCCCAACACTGATCCCTGAGGCACACCACTAGCCACTGACTGCCAACCAGAAAGACACCCACTTACCCCTACTCCTTGTTTTCTACTAGTCAACCAATCCTCTATCCATGCCAATACATTACCTGTAATACTGTGCAACTTTATCTTGTGTAGCATCTCGTCAAATGCCTTCTGAAATCCAGATACACCACATCCACAGGCTCCCCATTGCCCACCATGCAAGTAATGTCCTCAAAAGAATTCCACCAAATTAGTTAAACATGACCTACCCTTCATGAACCCATGCTGGGTGTTCCCAATGGGACAATTTATATCCAGATGTCTTGATATTTCTTCCTTAATGATGATTCAAGCATTTTCCCCACTACCAAAGTTAAGCTAATTGGCCTATAGTTACCTGCTTTTTGTCTACTTCCTTTAAACAGTGGCATCACAGTGGCCATTTTCCAATCTGCAGGAACCACCAGTGAATTTTGGTAAATAATTGCTAATGCATTTGCTATTCCTGCCCCCACCCAAATCACCTCTTTTAGGCTCCTGGGATGCATTTCATCAGGGCCAGGAGACTTGTCTACCTTTAGCTTGCCCAGCACTGCCTCCTTAGTGATAGCGATAGCTTCTAGGTCCGCACCTGCTATAACCTTCTTGCCATCAGTTTTCAGCATGTTATTTGTGTCTTCCACTGTGAAGACCAACACGAAGTAACTGTTTAATGCCTTGGCTATTTCCTCATTCCCAGTTATTAAATTGGCCTTCTCATCCTCTAAAGGACCAATGTTTACCTTTGCCACTCTTATGATTTATATATTTATAGAAACTTTTGCTGCCTGTTTTTATATTCTGAGCTAGTTTACTCTCATAATCTATCTTAATTTTCTTTATAACTTTTATTGTGGCTTTCTGTTGGCCTTTAAAGATTTCCCAGTCAACTAGTTTCCCACTACTCTGCTTTTTGTAGGTTTTTTTTTCCCCCCCCCAATCTGACACTTTCCTTTATTTCCTTAGGATGTCCATGGCTGGCCCTCTTTTCCTACAGTTCTTCCTTATCACTGGAATATACTTCTGCTGAGCACTGAAAAATAGTTTTGGAAGTCCTCCACTGTTCCTCAATTGACCCACCATAGTTTTAGCTCCCATTCTACCTTGGCTAACTCCTCCCTCATTCCTTCATAGTCTCCTTTAAGCACAGGACACAGGTACTAGATTTAACCTTCTCACACTCCATCTGTATTTTAAATTCAGCCATACTGTGATTGCTCCTTCCGAGAGGATCCCTAACTGTGAGATCATTAATTATTCCTGTCTCATTACACAAGACTAGATCTAGGATAGCTTACTCCTTCGTAGGGTCCATTACATTAAAGAGTTAATAGAATGGTTTGATTTGAACTAATTTAGAATACTTACTTATGGAACCAGTTGGGATCACCACAATAATACCCATCATCTTTAGTAACTGCTACACTACCCAAAGCCATTAGAGTTCTTTGAACTGCAGCCAAATCTTTTCCTAAGAGAGAAAGAAAAAAAGTCATCTTTTAAAAAGGTATGAGCTTAACTGAAGAATTGAAATTCCAGACAAAATGCCAGGGCATTAGGGTATGTATTTGAGGAAAATGTCAGTGTTAAGTCAGAATGTGTTTAAAAATGAAAGGCAGTTGACAAGCCCAATTTAAAAATAACAATTTTTTAAACTACACTAAGCATTCTTTCCATTTCAAGTTTAAAATCGCTTCCAAAAATGTTTTCAGGCAAGCAGTTTGTTCATTATGTTCCGTCTAGCCAAAAGAAAAAAGTTAACCACGTTGGGTCATTATCAGTTTAGATTGAAAGTGATACATGAAATCAAGTTATAATTACTTATAGGCATATAAATATGGCACATAACCGATTGGGCCAAGTAGTCAGGGGGTTGGCAAAAGCCTTCCAGGACAGTAGAAAGCAACTTTTCACCTTAGGTGAAAGGAGTGTAACAGGGAGGCATAGTTTTAAAAAGGTGAAAGGCAGGAGGTTTAGAAGGGATTAGAGGAAAAACCCTTTTCCACCCAGAGAATGGTGGGAGTAAGGAATGGTATTGAGAGGCAGGAAACCACACTTAAATGCACTTGGGCAAGCCTTTGAAGTGTCATAACATTTATGACTACAGAACTATTGTGTTTAGTATATTTTTGACAGCACAGACTTGATGAGCCAAAAGGGCCTCATATGTACTGCATGATTCTATGATTATGAAATGCTACACAGACAAACTGGAACAATCAAGATCTTTGGCATTCCAATTGTCACCTTATTCCTCAAAGTTCCCCTCCTCTTTAGGATGCACAATCACATTACTAGGAATGTTGGAAAAACCTGGTATCAGCAACTTGCCAATGCCATTGTAGCCATTTGCAAGGTGACTAGCCTATGACAGCAGCATGCAACTTTTCACGGGCATTCACTAGTGGAAAAAGAGTGTTAAGTGGTTATTTGCACATCATAGAGTAAAGAAATTTAGACCCAAGTAATAGTAATAATTGAATTTCCCTTCCCCCACCACAACCAATCAGCAAAGAAGCAAACACCAATAGGAATTAAGATACAAAAAGTCAATTGTCATGATGGGCTTTTCCCATGTGATAACAAAGGAAAGCCACAATACATGTTGTAAAAATTTTTGGCTTAGAAATTTATTCAAGTGGCAGATTGTGCAGCATTGGTTTGTTTCAAAGGACTTGCATTTAAGTTTGACAATCATCCATTGGTTATTTAGTAAAATGACCATTTTGATCAAACTATTATTAAAAACCCATTAAAAGACAGCTAATCATCCCATCGAATTAGGCTTTCCCTAGACATTCAAATAAACCTACCCAAGTCAGTTCTGGTTTCCTCCCCAGAAGACAATAAATCCATAGTCATTTGAGAATCAAAGAAAAAAAATCAGTGAATTGTTAGTACTGACTACCTTCCCACAAGTCCACAGTCTGGAAGATATCCATTGTTGCAACACCATAAGCCTCAGCAGCTTTCAGAAATTGAGAAATCTGTTCCATCTGTTTAAAGGCCATTTTAGATTCTTGGATTTTTTTAATTGGCTCTTCATCTTTTGGATAAAGGCTGTTTATAACTTTACATAATAACTAAGAGAGAAAACATTAGTAACACATCAAAACATGATCTGAATTCAGAGAAGAACATTAAAGCTTTCATTTGGTTATTAAACAGCAGTGGAGTGTTATTGGTGGAAAGAGATCTCCAAGAGGAGCTAAGCTTTGCTCCCAAACCTAATAAAATAGAAATTTAAGGTAGGGAAAATACAGCTGTGAAACTGTCATTTGTCACTTATACAAATCTACGATGTGAGCTTGCCCAAAAGGGAGATAGATATCAATTAGTGACAAATTGATGATTTCCTTCAAATTCACAAGGCAAATGAAATATCTCCTTACAGCAAGCTAATTTTAAAACCAGGCAAAGTACATTTGGTAGAGAGATAGAACGAACAGCAGATGCTGGAGAATCTGAGATAACAAGGTGTAGAGCTGGATGAACACTGCAGGCCAAGCAGCAGGAAAGATGATGATGTTTTGGGTCTGGACCCTTCTTCAGAAATGGGGAGGGGAAGGCAGATGGAAGATGGATAAGAGGAGCAGATAGGTGGAGGGGAGACAGACAGGTCAAGGAGGCAGGGATGGAGCCAGTAAAGGAGACAGTGTAGGTGGGGAGTGGTCAGTCAAGGAGGCTGGTAGGTAGGAGTGGATAGGTGGGAGAAAGGACAGGCAGGTTAGGGAGGTGGGGATGAGCTGGGCTGTGGTCAGGGGATGGAGATTTTGAAGCTTGTGAAATCCACATTGAGACCATTGGGCTGCAGGTGGGCTGCAGGGTTCCCAAGTGAAACATGAGGTGCTGTTCCTGCAACCTTCGGGTGACATTGTTGTGGCACTGGAGGCAGCCCAGGATGGACATGTCGTCCAAACAGTGGGAGGGGGAGTTGAAGTGGTTCGCAACTGGGAGGTGCAGTTGTTGGTCGCCAACCAAGCGTAGGTGTTCCACAAAGCAAAGCAGTCTCCAAGCCTCAGCTTGGTTTCCCCGATGTAGAGGCGGCCACATCAGGAACAGTGGATGCAGTATACCACATTAGCAGATGTGCAGGTGAACATCTGTTGTTTGATGTGGAAGGTCTTCTTGGGGCCTTGGATGGGGGCGGGGTGGAAGGAAGGTGTAGGAGCAGTACACTTTGTGACACTTGCATCTTTCAAATAATTTAAAAAAGTTATGGGTACCCACATGGATCCTTTAGGCTTACCTTCTCTAGGATATTGTTCCAGTTCTTTTCCAGTCCCCCCCACTCCACTTTTTCAATAGATTAATGGCAATATTTGCTGTTTGCTGCACTTACCCACATTTGCTTTGCTTCCAATTGTCAACCTTCTCTCACCTTTACATGTTCCACTCAACTCCTTTCCTTTGTAGGCCATCTGTGTTTCTGCAGATGTTGCTAACAGATATTCGCTGCAAAGGTTACTGATTTCTACAGCTACCATTCCTCACACCATGTTGAATGGATTTTATCCTCAATCCAGTTTCTGTTGCATGCATTCTCATGCTTAGTCTTCATGAAAACATTTTTTGCCTCCCCATAATGAAGATCACACCATGATCTTTCACTGTGGCTGATGGCCCTTTAAAAACAGACATATTCTAGTTCTTATACTTCTGTGCACACCTTAATCCCTCAGAACAGAAGGATTTCCCCCACTTATAGCTACTCTCCAACCACAGTTTAGCAGATTTACCACAATTTTTGCCAAGCATCTCCCTCCCCTACAATTCGAGAGACTATTCCCTCTACAACACCTCATCCCACCCCATTATTCAATCGAACACCATCTGACTATATTATTTCACATATGCAGAATAGATACATCACCTGTTCTTTTACTGCCTCACTCCACTAGCCATGGCCACAAACACTTCCCATAAAGAGCATACTACAGCCATATTTGTTCAACACAAAAACAGACCCTTCGGTCCAGCTTGTCCATGCCAACTAGATGTTGTGAATTAATCTAGTTTCATATCCCTCTAAACCTTTCCTATTCATACCCATCCAGATGCCTTTTAAATGTTGTAATCACACCAGCCTCCACCACCTCCTCTGGTAACTCATTCCACACACGCACCACTGTGATGTTGCCCCACTGTTCACTTAAAGCAGTATTAAAGTGTAGTAGGCTTTATTCACTGTTCACAGTAGCAACTTAACCATCTAAAAAAAAAAGCAAAGGACAATGAATACATGGGAACGTTAACTCCAAATTCTCCAAGCCATCCATCATCTTGACTTGGAACTATAATCATTGCTTCACTGGTGCTAGGAATTCCCTCCCTAATAGAATTGTTGGTATAACTACACCAAATGTTTTGATGGTTTGAGAAGGCAGCTCACCACTATCACCACCTGCCCAAGGGGAATTAGGAATGGGCAACAAATGCTGACCCAGTCAGCGATGCTCGGTTGTGAGAAAGAACAAGAAAACTCCAATGCATTTGCATTGGGAGTGCACCACACTGCTGGATTTGCCATTGTTCTGATCAAAAGTTAATCATCTGAGTCCTCATCTGATCTCAGGCGACTCAGAAATAGAACCCTGGCATTATATGGCTGAGCAGAACAAGTTTTGTTTGCTGCGCTACCAATATTTATCCCTCAGATCAATTTGATCATCACGGTGCTATTTTTGCAATTTTGTTGTATGCACATGAAGGTTCCCACCATCAACAGTGACTAGATAACACAGCCTCAAAGTGTTTTACGGCCATCGGAAGCAATGCTGAAAAAGGTAGCCCAAAAATGCACGTTTTACTCCTAAACATACAATCACACCTATAATTAGATACTTTTCTTTACACGTCAACCTGACGAGCCAAAATTGTGGCTAACCCTCATAATTCAAACTGTTTTAAAGTGTATTTTAAAAAAGGGACAAATTCTCCTTACCTTTGCAACCGGTTTGTGTACCCAAAAGAGTGCATTGTTTTAGTCAGGAAATTTGAAGTAACTCAATCTTGACGTAGCATTCCTTCCTACTGTAGTACTGAGAAGGATCTAAATCTATTCTATGGGTGCTGTTTGACCCCAGGAGCGTTTCTAGTACTTTTGTCCAATCTAAATTGCACAAATAGGGAATAGCAATATTTCAACTACTCATTTGTATCTTGACAAGTCTAAGGATTACAACAGCATGACATCCAAGCCTAATTCAGTCCTCAACTAGCATTCAGAGCGAAGAAAACATTGTATTTTGTCCTCACGTACCTGGGTTAGGCAAGAGGAAAAACATTTATTACTTCCTGTATTTCCAGTACAGACTGGAATTAGTCATTTCTGTTCCTAAGTCTGCATCTACATGACAAGTTTCAAATCAAGAATACTGTTTAGTGTATTATGATGTCAGTGAGTTAACTTATGAAGTGTTATCACTGAATAAACTGGACTTGTTAAAGTCCTACAAATAAAAAAAAAACCAAAAAACTTGAAATGCCAGTCTAGACTTTGACCTGCTACTCAGAAGTCCATGTTACAACTGAAATCAAACCACAAATGCACGCTTTTGTTTAAAGTCATTTTTCCCAGCATTTTCTTTAGGTGTACTTATCTGGACAACTTCCCAAAAGCTTCCTCCAATGGGTAATACAGAATTTGTCATATCCAATACAAGCCAAGTGTCAGACAAATCATTGAGTTGTGGCCTCTGCAATCCTGTATCAGTTATAATTAGGTTGTTATTTATGTCTTTGAAAAATTCCATAATTTACTTACACGAACCAAGTAATTAGAAAGATTTGTATAAGCTCTCTAGGCTCATTCCACAACAGTTAAAGCACATCAGCATCTGCCAACCTATAATCTACATGGAGTGATCTTTGTAAGAAGATTTATGTTCAGTGACTGTTACTTAAGTCAAAGTGGCAAATACTGTTGAGCCCTGATATCAATTAAGTGATGATAACAATGGAGTTATTCATTTTATCTAAACTACATCTTGTCTTTGCATTCTAAACTTGTTATGCTTGACAACATTTATAGAATATAGTTCATCGAGAATGATGAGTTATATATACTTACAGCACCATTCATCAGCCACTTTTGAAAGTGTACTTTTCCAGGATCTGGACGACTTGCATTCCCACCACATTGTGCAATGATCCAAGCTACTAGTCGTTCTTCTAATTCAGAATCATATTTCTGTTCAATCTTTTGCTCAACCTCTCTGCTCAGGCCATAGCTTGGTCCTCTATTCGCCATTTCTGAAGTCTAGAAATACAAACGATTTAATATTTACAGCACCTCTGTACACAAACTCACACCAATATATTACATATCTGCACCATATGCATGCACAGCACAAAATACAGGGCCATGGTATGATGAAAATGTTGGCTTGCCCACATTGTGGGAGTCAGATCATTGTTTAAAAAACCCAAGCTTCAGGATAAACAAAAAGCAGTAACCCCAAAGACCAGTGTCCAATTTAGATATTTTTGGTAGTAGCATTAATGCAAAATTAAATTTAATAGTAATACTTGCAGCCCTGACAGCAAATCAGTCTATATTATGGACAAAGCACCTAAGGCTGCAGTATTTTCCTTGGATTTCCTTCAAGGCCATCCTCAAAATTATACAAGTGTAACAATTCCCTTTACAGACATTTTTGACAGAAGCACAGCCAATTTAAAACAGATTCATTTTCCCAGAAAATAATTTCATCTGTAGGGAATATTTAGAGGCCAACATAATTTCAGGTTTTTGCTTTGAAATTGAATAGCCGAATACAAAAAAAAAGTGTTGTATCAGCCCCCAAAGATGGTTGCATTTAGTAATTTAAGAGAAGAATAGCAAATAGTTTATGATACTTTTACTATTCAACTAGGAAGTAAGCACAGGTACAAGAAAAATAAGTTTATAGCCTTAATTTTCAGCTGATTCATCACAAATCCATTTCAATAAGTTGCGAGTAATGAACTGGCACCAAAACTTCCACAGAATGAGAAACAAATCTGAGGACAAGGCTGACAAAAAGGTTGAATGAAGGCAGGAAACAACTCAGGACTGCTCAGCAGTCAATGAAAAAGCTGCACTGTGATAAAGTATCAACTGAAATATAAATTGTTCTCCCTCCACAAGTGCTGCCAGACATACTGAGTATTTCCAGCATTTTCTGCTTTTAAATTTTCCAAAGGAAAAAAAAATGGAAGTGCTGAAAATGCAAAGAACAGACTAGGTATAGACACATGAAAGTGCAGAGGCAGCAAGAAAGCTTGTGACAAGTGGTTAATTAGAAGACTCAAAAAGTGAAGTGAACAGCAGGGGCTGTGAAATTATGCTGCCTTTGTAACTGTTTAAGTGGAGAAAGGTTAAGCCACAATACAACCTGAAGGCAAAAAGACTAGCAAGCGGCAGGTTACAGAA